ATAACGCCATGAAACAGGCGATTGTGTCGTTTGGTATAAGATATGTGTGGCATGTATGAACTTTTTGGCTTCTGTATACATAGTTATATTCGTCTTCAGTCGTAACTTGTGTGTTTTCATGTTGTTGTTGACAATTTAAAACAGTTTGAGCCGGCGTATGATGCTGTTTGACTGGATTCCTTTGCTGTTAGTGACACTTTGAGTACATTTACCAGTTGTAAGTACAAAAAACTCTGGGTATGAACTTATAAATAGCCAAATATTGGAGTAAAAAACGTTTCGCCGGTCGGGCCGATCGCCGGTTTTCACAAGAGTTCGAACGTTAATTAAACATTGCATTTTTTCCCTTAAAATGTCTTCTAAAACGACTAGCTATTCAATGTTTAGGGCTAAATCAGGACGAAGTTTGTTCTTTGAGAACAAGTGAGAACAAAAAAGACTCGAAACATCAAAATAAACATGATTTGTGGTTCGGATTTTAGACTGAAAAAGTTGTATTTATTTTTGCATATATTTGTAATATTTTCGCGCGAAAACTCAAGATTAGGTACCAGTCCCCCGATGATGAAAAGTGTATGGAGCCACCTTAAATGCATGGAGAAATTACTGTAAAATGTTAGTAATTCTAATTCTTCGAACACGAAATTGGATTTAACCAATTCCACAGCCCGCAGCGTTTGAACTGATTGCGATGCATGAAACAAATCACGGTTTAATTTTTACACCTATATCCGTCCTTTTCTGCTTTTTACAGTAGGATTTAGAACTTACCTTGCTGCCATCCACTTTCATCACTAGTGTCCAGGCTCCCGTTCCACATTTAGATATTTCATCCATGTGACAGTAAACTTCATATTGTTCAAGTGTAACATTATTTTGCAATGTATAATTACCACTGATTAACGATCTGCATAATAAAATGTTATGTTTATGTCAGGAAAATGATTTCGGAACATGGCATGGTGTAGCGTTTATTGTACTAGCTGAATGGTTATTATATAATAAAGTTAACTCTATGCATGATTTATACCATTTAAATATTAAATAGACACTTTAAAATGCGATGGTTCTTTTCTTTTATTTTAAGAATTTTCAGATTGTCTAATCTCAACGTCATGTTGTGTTGCTCTTCTTGAGAGATTAGTACTCGCGTGTTAAAACTCTGTTTTGTAACATCTACACAATAAAAACGATTTGATATTTATTTGTTTATACGGCAACAAGACTTGATATCAGACATATTTGGCTCGCTACTCTGATTTTAAGTGGATCATCCCAGTGGAAACAGCAAGCTTGCTGTTTATTAGACATGTTTTCGTTTGCTTTTTTTAAGCAAGTGCAAAATCTCACGATCAAGTGTTTACTTGATCGTGAGATTTTGCACTTGCTTAAAAAAAGCAAACGAAAACATGTCTAATAAACAGCAAGCTTGCATGCAAGCATATCTCCATATGATCAGCCTTTTTAATTCGATACGATACCAAATTAAGCATGATCATACTACACATTTCGGTCGATACCCACATCGATACCGATACTTCATTTTAATCAATAATGACGTCACAACAATAAAGTGGACATCACGCCATCAAATTGATGATGAACCGGTCTGTCTTTATTGATGACTCGTGTCTTCTGCCTTTCACGAATACATTCGTGAGCACCAACTAAGGTAAAAGTGTGAGTTCATGCAGCTCTATGGATCATTTGCCTCATTCCCCTGCAGGGACCAACTCAATAGAAGCCATAGCGACCATGTTTGTGTTCCAGAAAAAAGTCTAAATTAAAATTCTTTTGAATTGAAACGTCCTGTGCAAACGCTCTATTATTTATTTATTTATTTATTTATTTAAGAATATTTACAGAGGTAAGCATTTCAGTAATACTACTGTTATCAACATGCGACCTCTAAAAATCCTTAGAATAATACAATTTAAACCTACATAGCACCAGTTTCTTTATTAAAAACTACACATCTATCTAAAACTAACTAAAATGTTTGACTAAAATGTTTGAACAACGCACGGTTAAAGGATTTAATATCTTCAACGTTCCTTACTTCAATTGGGAGCTCGTTATATATTTTAGCACCCGCAAATCCAAAGGCTTGCCTATATTGAACTCAAGTTTTACCTTTGGCAGCTTTACTAGGATAGCACTATTTCTTGTGCCTTTATCATGGTTATTAACTTGAAAATATCCAAAGAAGTTACTACATATGTAATTTACCAGACAATTTTGTACAATCACACAGGCTTTCATTTTCATTAACTTATGCAGATACGTCGACGGTATATGTTTATTTCCGATCCAATAATTTCTTTAGCTCGCTTTTCAATGGTGCCTAATTTCCCTAGCTGTGTTCTTGTGTACAATAGCTTTATTGTCCCACTGTAGGTTACAATGGGGACAATCATCATTTGATATATCTTATTGGCAACATCAGGGGTTACATAATCCCTCAGTTTAGATAATAGCCGTAGGCGATTGTTTGCCTTCTTATAAGCGTCGTCAAAGTGTTTACAAAGTGTCAAGCTAGGGCTATATTGTTTTGTGAAATATTGTATACAGTACAAAAAAACGCCGCTTTACATTTCTGTGATTTTTATAAATGCTGACCAGGTATATTGGAAGTCCAAGTGATATCGAATTGTCAATACTTTTTGCAAAGTATCAAAGGTATCGACACTTCTTCTTGTATCGATAGTATCGGTATTTTGTATCCAAATCGTGCCCATCCTTAATTTACAGTAGTGCTCATAATGTAATATATTTATATACCCATCTCTCTCCAACAGTTCTTTACAGGATGTTAACGACGTTAGAACGGCTAAAACATTTTAAAGAAATTCTTCAGAACAAACACATAAAGTTATCTTTCAGTTGTAATATACCACGTATTTCCTTGGTTTAGTCCCCTGGGAGTTTTTTGCTACAATTATAAAGTTGACTTATACAAAAAAATTTAATACTCTCAAAATACTAACTCATTGAATACAGAATTTTTATATTCATTCATTGGAACATACTTGTTGGTTGAGTTGTCGGGAAACTTGAACCTTCAGTTTCTTTCGGTATGGATTTTTCTGTGAAAAGATTAATTAATAATACTTATCAGTACAAAGTCCATTTCTAAATTAAAGCTGAATAACTTTTTATTAGAGCATTATTGTGCACTTATGAACAGGATAAATTGATAACGATGGTAGAACCGCTAAAACATTTTAGAGAAATTCTTAAGAACAAACACATCAAGTTATCTTACAGTTGTAGCATACCGCGTATTTCCTCGCTTTAGTCCCCTGGGAGTTTTTTGCTACAATTATAAAGTTGACTTATACAAAAAAATTTAATACTCTCAAAATACTAACTCATTGAATACAGAATTTTTATATTCATTCATTGGAACATACTTGTTGGTTGAGTTGTCGGGAAACTTGAACCTTCAGTTTCTTTCGGTATGGATTTTTCTGTGAAAAGATTAATTAATAATACTTATCAGTACAAAGTCCATTTCTAAATTAAAGCTGAATAACTTTTTATTAGAGCATTATTGTGCACTTATGAACAGGATAAATTGATAACGATGGTAGAACCGCTAAAACATTTTAGAGAAATTCTTAAGAACAAACACATCAAGTTATCTTACAGTTGTAGCATACCGCGTATTTCCTCGCTTTAGTCCCCTGGGAGTTTTTTGCTACAATTATAAAGTTGACTTATACAAAAAAATTTAATACTCTCAAAATACTAACTCATTGAATACAGAATTTTTATATTCATTCATTGGAACATACTTGTTGGTTGAGTTGTCGGGAAACTTGAACCTTCAGTTTCTTTCGGTATGGATTTTTCTGTGAAAAGATTAATTAATAATACTTATCAGTACAAAGTCCATTTCTAAATTAAAGCTGAATAACTTTTTATTAGAGCATTATTGTGCACTTATGAACAGGATAAATTGATAACGATGGTAGAACCGCTAAAACATTTTAGAGAAATTCTTAAGAACAAACACATCAAGTTATCTTTCAGTTGTAGTATACCGCGTATTTCCTCGCTTTAGTCCCCTGGGAGTTTTTTGCTACAATTATGAAGTTGGGGATTTGACTTTGACCTTGTTCTAATATTCGCAAATGCCCCACATCATGGGGAGCATCAAAGGTTCCGAATGTCAAAAAATGTCCCCTGTACCTGGGGCCTTCGCCCAGAAATTAAGTACTGTTTAATAAACGAGTAGGAGTGTTTTATCACATATAAAACACGACGCGTAGCGGAGTGTTTTATATGTGATAAAACACGAACTACGAGTTTATTAAACAGCTTCAAAAACGTCTCAGTTAGATCACGGCATTGGCGAAATAATTTTCCAAAATAACTTTGTATTAGCTGAGAAAATACAAGTTGAAATTTGAAGCGTGTTTTATCACATATAAAGACACGCCACGCTTATGATTTCTCTTTGTGTTTTCCTCATGAATTATTAATGAGTTTTTGAAGACTTTTTAATTAAATACTACTAATACAGTTTAGGCCATATAAAAAAATAGTTGGTTAGCGTCCTTAGCTTTTGTCAAAAAGTGAGCAGGCGGGCGCTTATCTTTTAATTTTTACCAATTTTTAACGCCTTTGTTTTACTCACTGTTAGGTCCGAAACTGGATTTTCTTGCGCAGTACAGATATTTTTTTATATATTTCAAAATATAATTCATATACTGTCATTTTCGCACGCAATTTCGCAAATTATTAACACAATTGACTACAGTCAACAGAAATACTACATATATTAGAGCCCGTTGATCAATAAAAGTCGGGTTTTCTTAAATAAAAAATTTTAAAAAATCCTGAGCGGGGCATTTTTTGTGGGCAGGCGGGGACGCTAACCAACTATTTTTTTTTGTGGCCTTAATACGTTTCAAATAATTATGTATGGACTGCAATGAACTGCTATAGATTGCATTCTTGAGATGGATAGCTTGCAAAATATTGATTATTTATAATTTATTTAAGACTCCTTATCCTTTATTTATAATTTATTTAAGATATTCCTTATCCTCATGGTTTATATTTTAAAGAACAGATGGTCAAAATCTGCATTACAAGTTTAGCGATTTAAATAAAATCTACATACACTGCGAAATGACCGATAATTTTTACGAAGGACATATTTGTGTACCTCGTGATCACAATTCGTTGCAAGCGGCTAGTGAAAAACTGCAAGTTTTAGTTTGACAGTTCTGACAGTACAGTTAAATGAGTTTCTAATTTTATTGTCCAATCAGATGCGTAGTTTTGAACTTTAAATCAAAACTACGCACCTAATTGGACAATAAAATTAGAAACCATTTATCTGCCAGAACTGTCAAACTGAAACTTGCAGTTTTTCACACGCCGCTTGCAACAAATTGTGATCACGAAGTACACAAATATGTCCAACGTAATTGACAAAACTGTCACTGACAAACTGCCTAAAGAAACGGTCGTTTCGCAGTTTACTGGGAACAATAGTACCTGCAAATGTTCAAAAGCACAAAAGCACAAAGCAAAGATAATAAGCGCTAGATGTTAAAACGCCACTTGTGATGAACAACCGCTGAAAAATCAACAACTGGCTCATTACTAATCCCTACCTAATCCCCATACCCTGGGGATAAATAAATTCTAAAAGCTTCAAATCCCCCACCCTCTTGGGAGTGTTTCCTGATCTAAACCCCTACCAATCCCCTATTAACCCCCACTTTGTCGTGGGGTGGGGGGGGGGGTCGGGGTTTACATTGACTCATGCATAAAAATCTGCTAGATTTTAGCAGATCATGTGACCAGCGTCTCAGGGTCTTTTCTCGCCAAGACCCTGGGTACAGGGTTGGGTTATTTACTCATGAATTGTCTGGCATTAGACAGAGTTAATACTAAAGCGGGGACTGCTTCCATGCACATAATTTAAGAATAAGTTCGTGATTGGGCTTAAACGATTAATGAGAAACAAATTTGTGCAGGAAACATAGGGGATAAGACCTTCATGTGAGGCCTGCCATGCTGTCACAGAATAACAATTTAATCAGAAGCTCCACATTACACTTGTTTAACTATCTGAAACAAGCAGGGCCAAGCCATACAAATTTATACAAATTGCTAAACAAGTGTAATCAGCTTTTTGATATGTCGAGAGTGGGACTTCTCGTTAAATTGTTATTCTGTGATGGTACCAATAATAAAACATGGAAATGAGGCCATCAGCTCAAAATTAAACTTCCCTATACAGAATTGTCTAGAAGAAAAACATAACCATTCCTCTTGAACAACTTTCTGCCATTGTCCAAATTGTTGCATTCTTCCACATTGGCTACAAGCCTTCAATCATAACTTGTGGTAAACACATGGTAGCCTTGGTTTCTTTTGATTCACTTATTTCCCTCAAAGCATGCATTTACTTATAATATCATCATTAACTAAACCATACTAGTGAATGCTCCAGCAAAAAATATTAATTCATTCAACTGTTCAAATATTTTATAAAATAATTTTATAAACAATATCAACTTTACAGATTTTAAAGTAACTATATGTCAACAATGTAAGAATAACAACAAATTTCAAACATTTTTTGTTCCAATAATGGAAATCAATGCTTCTTTTGTGGTCAACTCCATCACAGTTGGCTCTACCTCGGCTAATTCTTCCTCAAAATCAGGAAAAATCTTTTGCTGTATATGTGCAGAGTTCCTTGTTATCATTATCTATTTTCACTCTCTGATTTGTGAAGACATACGTTTTGTTGACTTCAAGGTTGTCAGCCCACTCTTCCAAAAAAACCGCACTTATTGATCCAGTGGGATCAACCAAAATGGCAGAAGATTTTGTCAGTGTTTTGTTTTCAAGCTTAATGGTTTTGCTTCCTGAAATCTGGCTTACAGTAGCTTTGTTGTTACTAACTGCTGTGGTATTTCCCAAAGCTTCGTCATTTTGAATGGCAGTGCATCTGGCTGGACAGTTACAGAGCTGTTATTCTTGATGACAACATTGCTAAATTTCTTGTTGTATTCAAACTTGGTAAGCTTGATTGGACTCCTGTTTTGCATTGTTGACTTCAATGGTGTATTTTTATTGGGGGGAAAAGCATACATTGCTTTAAGCACCAATGCATTTTCCGATGTCTGCAATTGGCATGTGGTATATTTCACTTTCCTTGAATTGTGGACAGGTGTGACATTGTGAACATAACACAATAGTTCTTCACCAACAATTAAAGGGGGGGGGGGGGGAATAGCTTTTGGATCATCGGATTCCACCAAAAAAATTGTTCGGATTTTGCGAACAAAATACAAATAGGGGCAGCACAGGGGCAACAGGTTGCCTTTTTTGCCAGAACTGCACCTCGAAATATGTGCATTATTCGTAGAAATTGGAATTTAGAACTATTTTTAGCAATGTTTAAAAATGCAATACAGTCCTTTGTAAACAAAGGCTTTGTTTACATTTCAGTATCCAAAATTTAGAATTTTATTCTAAAACTATTTATATTTTCATGATTCTAGAATATGATAAATTATCAAGACAAAACAATCAAGCTTTGCAAGAACATAAAATGAAATAAAAACCTCGATCTTTTGTGCACATACGGAGATCGGACTGTACAGCATCTTTATGCAATCTTTAGCACGGTGCAACAAATAAAATCGTTCAAAATTAATGTCGAAGTTTGCCAACCCATAATAGCCACAAGTAATTGAGTATCCATACAGTAAAGTTTTAACAAATATTGCTGCCCAGAAAAATGAAGTGCCCTTTTGAAATGGCTGGCCCCGCCGCTTCACATTATTTCGGTGCCCCTGAGTAAAAACATAATTACGAAATGCATTACTTACAGAATGTCAGCGATCTCTTGCTGATAAAGGTTTCATTTCATCGCCACCCAAGACTAAAATCGTCGGATATGCACAGATACCAAAGTTGTCTGTCTTTTATAGTAGCTGTTTCAATTTTGGTTTCTCAGTCGTCAAATCAACAGTGAATGGTCTCACAAAGTCTTCTGCCATAAAATGTCTTGAACATATTTTTAAGGAAGCTGTAGTTCAGTCTCTTTCATTTCACAAAATCAACCCATCTTTTCCTTCGCTTTTTTGCCTCTGGCCGATTGTTATTCGCATACAGAATATTGTGCAGCGATATTCCTTCATTTTGGCTAGCAATGTTGGAGCATCCACAGACTACACACCTATGCCGCATCTCTGAACCATCGACGTTCAGTGAAATGAACAAAAAGCCGATAAAATATTATTTTCTCGTGTTTTTAAGAAGGATAAAGTGTTCAGTGTTGCTGTTTTACTATGAATGTCCTATTGTTCTGAAAGCATGTCTTCTCATTCTTACGTCACTTCCGCCTCACAACACAACTAGTTACCAGTAATTGTATCTCATGGTCAAACACAAAAATTTGCCAAAATTTGCAACTTTGAGGCCCAAAAAGTCCACGAAGATCAAATTTTCGTCTAGTCAAATATATTGCAAATGTTCTTAAAATCGTCTAAACTATCAGGAAAAGTAATTTCCCCTGATATAGGCACTTTAATGAAGTACACCTATTTGCTCTCCAGTATTTTATTCCTACCTCGTATCAATGTCTCTTTAGCTGAATTCCATAGGCAGTGGAATCATCATGGGATGAGAACCAACCATCTGTCACCGTTAGCAATGTGGCACACCAATATGATAACAACACCAGATGATTCAACCATTACTAACTGGGAAACATATGGAATTGATTACAGTACTTCAGCACAACAAATTGAAACAAGCAACAACATTGTGGTCCCTAATTCAGATGTGGAACTGAGTGATGAACACTTTCAGTACCTTCAACAAATGGTAAATACTACCCAGGATGATGGTAATAATGGTGGTATTGAACACTATTTGAATGCTGTGGACATTGTAGGTGGCTTCATGGATGAGGAAACAACAGACATTGTTTGAACCTGTATGCTGTATGATCTACATTACAAGTGATATTTTAATTAACATATATACTGGGGGTTGGCCCTGCAGGCAACCTTACACTGAGTGACCTACATACTACTCTAGGGAAGTACACACTGGGCCCTAATCTTGGTCCCCCCCCCACTGTAGAACATTAAAAAATATACACTGCTATACATGATACTAGAATATCATTATACTAGTCTGAGGGTCCTGAAGGGGTAAAATCATAGATATAGGAGATCTAGATTGCTAACGCATACCTAGCCCAGGTGGGGGCCTACATGATAAATCCAAGATGGCGGTACAACAGGGCAAAAAGACTATAGATTCTATTACGAAAATCAGGATTTTTTCATTTTTTGCCGTCACATTGTCTCGAAACTTATTCGGTCAAATTTTATGGTAAAGAGAAACTTACCGCAAAGATTTTGAGCATATATATGATTGAATTGGATGAAAACTCGCAAAATTATCCAGCGATAAAAGTTTGTGTATGGTACTGATATAGTACTATATATGTAACTTGTACAGTTTTGCTTTAATTTTTGCTCACTATTTGCATAAAAAGCAAATTATAACAGACCATAGATGATAGACCCTCATCCAGTGCTCTCATCAGCTACTTCTTTAACAAGCAAGCAGGGGGGGGGTACATAACAGTTCATTTTTCATAGTATAAAACACCATTCACAAGGCTAGATGTTAACATAGCACAGTATTTCTGGCAATAAAACGCTCCAACTGACCATTTCACACGAACCTTTATCGCTGGATAATTTTGTGAGTTTTCATCCAATTCAATCATATATATGCTCAAAATCTTCGCGGTAAGTTTTTCTTTACCATAAAAGTTGACCGAATAAGTTTTGAAACAATGCAACAGCAAAAAGTGCAAAAATCCTGATTTTTGTAATAGAATCTATAGTCTTTTTGCCCTGTTGTACCGCCATCTTGGATTTATCATGTAGGCCCCGCCTGCGCTAGGTATACGTTAGCAATCTAGATCTCCTATATCTATGGGTAAAATGGGCACTGGGATTGATCTATTTTTAGAGTGGGGAAATGGGATTTGGTGGGTTGCTGGGACTGGGATTTGGCCACTGGGAAATGAAGTCCTCAAAAACGGGAAATGGGATTGAGGTAATGCGAGTCAATTCCCAATTTTTCCACGTTTTAGGTATTTTAAAATACAATTTTGGTCCGTTTTTGGTGTCTTTGGTCATGATTTTTGTTGTGAACTATATTATTCACAGCACTACCTACGAACAGGCATATTATGGTGCCCAGAATCCTGAGTTTTCTTACTATGTGTGTCCCCAAGTCAGATGCACAGCCGAAATATATGGCTGGTTTTCGGTATATACTTCATTTAACCCTTAGTATACAGCTATTTCAAATAAGGTTGTCCCCTGAGCAAAGCGGAAAAGTCAAATACGAGCGCGAAAGGCTGCTGGGAATTGCTAATAAATAAATGAAAGGCAAAGCACAACTGCTTCTGCCACACAGTGTGCACACACAGTGGCTTAAAAGGTCTTAAAACTGTTTGCTCTACCGATAGATAACTTTTTTTATTCACTGGGATTTCTAATAAAAATCCAACTGGGACTGGGATTTTGCCAAAATTTCAGGTGGGAAATGGGATTGGGACCCCCCCCC